CGTAACTATTATTTTTTATTAATTATTATAATTACTTCATATAAATTATTTTTTTATTCTATTATTATTATTATTACTATTATTATTAAAAATTAATTGTTAGTTTTACTACTCTTTTCTTTTAATTTAGTAGTTTTACTACTCTAAACTTCTAAAGCTTTAATTGAAAATTACTTTTAGTAATATATTTACGTATCATTATAAATTATAAATTACTTGGTTATAAATTATACATCGTAATTCATAATAATATAAAATTTAACACTATTTTTATTATTTCATATTATCTTTAAAAAACCAGAGGTACTTATTCATCTTATTCAATTCTTTTCTCAAGTTCTCTTGTTTTCTCGATTTACCGTGACACCACTACCAATGGCGACTACTAATGACTAATGTGTGGCTAATGCAAAAGACAACATCGGATGCCAAAAAATTAGAGCAGTAAAACTACAAAACATTTGTTTAACAATGATAATAATAAGTTTTATTTTAAATAATAAATGCTATTTTTCTAAATAATAATGAATGTTATTTCTTAAAAATAGAGTACTAAAATTACTACTCCTTAATTAATTTTTAATAATAATTAAGAAAATAATAGGAAATAAATAATATTATCTTCGTCCCGGAGTATTTGTCAGGTTTTGACTTTTTTCTATCAACCATTTTTAACCTTTGACCTATAAATAAACATATATTGTATATTAATTTGATAAAGTAATATTTAGAAAATATTTTATATAATAAATCTAATAAAACAATTTTTGTATCAATATCTAATATCATATTTTTGATTAAGGGTTAAAATTTATCAATTTTGATCGAAAAATAAAAATTGGACAAATATACTCTAGAACAGAGGAGTAATTAATACTTTGTATGAAGTAATAATAATAACTGGTGGTATTTTTATAAAAAAGTAAAGAAGTAAAATTACTAATTAATTTCTTAAAATAAATAATAGTATTAATAATAAGTTTTTGTATAATAAGTGCTATTTTTCTAAATAACAATTACTGCTTTTATAAAAAAGAGTGGTTAAACTAACAATTAATTTTTAATAATAATAAATTAAAAAAATTAATAATAATAATAATAATAAAAGAATAAGAAAATAATTATTATTATGAAGTAATTATAATAATTAATAACAAATAATAATAATTATAATAGAAGAAGAAGAAGAAGAAACAAAACAAAAAGTAAAAGAAGAAAAAACCGAGGTGGGGGGAGGATCACACCCGAAGGCAGAGGAGGAGGAGGAGGAGGAGGAGGAGGAGGAGGAGAAGAAGAAGAAGAAGAAGAAGAAGAAGAAGAAGAAGAAGAAGAAAAGAAGAAGAAGAAGTTTCCCATACTTGTCCCTCATTTGATATAATTCCTTCATAAATCTCTACGAAAATTATCCCCTAGTCAACTACAAAGTCATATATTTTTAGTATATATATGACTTTGTCAAATATATATGACTTTGTCAGAAGAATCTTGTTGGTTAAAAATATATGACTTTGTAGTATATTACTCCAAAGTCGATAAATTTAGAACAAAGAAATCACATTACCTTTATCTCAAAGAATTACATGATGTTAAATTTATTTCAATATTGGTATAAAACTTTGTTAAAATTGACCAAAGCCTAGGTAGCGTATGGCTCATTAAAGAAAAAAGAAAACCTCCTAAATAAGAGTAAATCATTAGACATATACTCAAAATAGGAGTTCCTAACGTATATACTCAAAATAGGAGTTAAATTTAAAAAGAAAAAAAGCTAAATAAAAGTGGCCTTCTCGATCTCTTTCCCCAGTGACATCCAACGTGTCTCTCTCCTCAATCTCTTCCCACCGCTCATCCCTTGCAGATTCGCCACCACCACCCATCCCACGCAAGTATTTGCTTCTTTCGCTCGCTTATAGCTTTTGCCACCGTCACCCCCAATTGCATCACCGCCACCCCCTTGCACCGCCGACATCAATCGTCTATCCTTCTCGATTTGTCTCCACCGCTCACCCCTTACAAATTCGTCGTCGCTATAAATCAATCATCGCTACCTATAAATAATTGCATCTTCATTGATATGAGGTTTGGTGTTTGTTTTCAATTTTTGTGTTCAATTTTTCTCTCTCGTTATTTTAGATGCTTGATTTATGCTTCAAATTTCTGTAAATCTGGTAATGTGAAATGAATCTTGACATTGATTGGTGGCAATCTTAACATTTAATCTTTTTTTGACACTATATATTTGCATGTTTGGCATTATAAATTGACATGTTTTCTACTTTGCATTATCATCTTTGACATTGCGATTTCATTTGGCATTGTATGTAAAGCTTTTTTCCTTGGTAGTGGCACCATGGCATTGTGGCAGCGGCAGAGGCACAGTTTCTTGGTCCTGACATTGGCGACGGCAAAACGCAGTTGTGACGGTGATGGAGACAATAGCAGTAGCAAAAGGAGACGACATTGACAACTTGTGGCATCACCAACGGCGACTGGGGCAACATTATCGATGGCTATTTGCATGGGGCAACATTAGTGTTTGCCGATTGGAATGGAAATGAATTTAATTTGGGTGGCAGTTAATGTGTTTACTCCTATTTTGGGGTTTTATCTTTCAACTCCTATTTTGGTATATTATCAATGTTTTACTCCTATTTCAGCCCCTAATTATCTCTGCAGATTAAGATAATCGGAAAGAATTTGTCTTCTTCCCATAACTAATGACTTCATGGGCTCAATGCATGCACATGTATCACCGAGTACAATTGAACTTTTGGCATTTTGCAGAGCCACGTTTGTCACTGTGCATTGACATCTTTGGTATTTTGTTTTCGATTGACCGAAAATTTTGTATTTTTGCATCTTACAATGTCATGTTTGTCACTGTATGTTGTCAATTTTAGGATTGTATTTTCGATTAACACTGTATGAATTATTTTCTCCATGTAGCACCATGGCACTACACCTGTGGGGGTTAGTGATGCCGACAACGTGCGACGACCATGTCGTACGACAGTTCCTCGATGCGGGCCCGCTCCACGATCATCTGTGGGACCTTCGGCCGGGCCACCATGTAGCCGACGAACACCACAATCCCAGTAAGGATCATGGATGGCCACCGTCAGGACGGTGCAGAATATGGCCAAACACCACACCACGGGACTGGTGTGCTGCTGCCCCCGGGTTGTCACCGCCCACGGCCATGGTTTTTTCATCACTCTTCTCCTCCGCCGTTCGCCGACCAATTATTATATATTTAGCAACGACGGTGATGTGATGATAATAAAAAAAATATGAAGAAGCTAATAATAATAATAATAATAATAATAATAATAATAATAATAATAATAATAATAATAATAATAATAATAATAATAAGATAATGGAATTAGGTACTTGGCTGCATTGGTGGGAAAGGTACCACCTATGGCAGATCTTGGCGGCGGCAAACATTGAGTCAACAACTCCTATTTTGGGGGTTTTATGTTTTCACTTCTATTTTGGATTTTAATCAATGTTTTACTCCTATTTTTCTCCTTAACCGTAAAGAAAAAAGCAAGTAAATGATCATGAAACAAAGACCGAAATAAAGACTTGGATCTTAAGTTTAAATAGATTTCTTTGTAAGGAGAAGCATTTATTTCTCTTATTACCTTGATATTTTTCCTTCAAAATGGATATCCGGATTTCAGGCTTAAACTTATATCTCGACTATTTCTCTTTTTAAGACAAATGAAGAAATTACTCATTAATAAATATATGAAGTACAAAGGTTCGGGGAGTTAAGCCTTGCCCCAGTGTTTAGAAGTAAACAAATAGCTTGAACAACAACATAAGCTACTCCGTTTGTTGAAAAATAAGCGAAAGTAAGCAAAGCATTTGCCTTGTGTAAGAGAATAAGAGATTTATAAGGACAAATAACATGAAACAAATGATAGAGCCCTCATCCAGATATTCATTAGGCACATTGACAACTAATAGACAATTATAGTTGACGATGATTATGTGACACAATTAGTCTTTTAGCTAACTTAAATTCTCTTTGTAAGACAAAACCTCCTTATAGTCGGGCACTTGTACAAAAGAGAACAAATCGACTACTCCATTTGCATCGGTTTCACTAAAAATCGTTGCAAGTGGAGATAAGGATTTTGCCAACCGGTTTTCTTTTACATCGGTTATCAGTAATAACTGATGCAAAAGGCTATTGCATCAGTTATTACTCATAATCAATGCAAAAGGCATCAATCTTTTGCATCTGTTATTAGTAATCACTGATGGAATATCCTTTTGCATCTGTTATTACTGGTAGCCAATGCAAAAGAGTGAGTTACAAATAACCACTCAGGGTATATCTCTTACGTGATATCTCATTTTTTGCACCGTCGTGCCGTCGTCGTTCGTCACTAACACCGTTGCTCCACTTTTTTGCCTCTGTCATCGTCCTCTCGGTCGTCGTCCCTACAATTACTTTTTCATTTTTGTCCTCCCACACCATCGATGCAACCGTCATTATTGCTCCATCATCCTTCTTTCGTTGTCCTCCCGCTGGCGTCGCCTCTCCTACATCCTCCAGTCATCGCCGACTTCATCGCCAATGCCACCTTCGACCAAATTCTCGCCAACCACATTCTCGCCACCTTTCGCCATCCATATTCTCATCGCTGCTTCCGAAACCACATGTCAACTCCTCTGACGCTACCTTTGCCCACTTTAATTACTTTAAATCTAAAATTTTAATTTTAATTTTTTTGTATAGTTTTTTTTTTTTTGAACAAAAGCACAGATGTATATCACTTCCAAGCAAACTGTTTAGTACAACACATCCACAACTAGTAAAGATAACATACTACTTACTAGCTGGTTTAATTCTCTTGAAATTGATATAGCTATTTAAAGTAAAGTTAATATAATCTATGGTATGCTGCTCGGTGATAGCCTTCTGGTGAACAACCCCATTTCGAGCTCTCCAAACACCATAGCATCCAATCGCCCAGGCCGCTAGAACTTCTTTTCGTTTAGTACCTTCAAACTTTGCATTGATCATGTCCCCAAAATCCTTAATACTGCCAGGATCATACCTAATGTCATAGGGCTACAAAATTAAGTTGAGGACCCTCTTTGTGTACTCACATTCACAAAAGAGGTGCTTGTTGTCCTCCATCTCTCCAGCACAAAGACTACAATCCACATTGGTTGGGAACCACTTAACCATTCTCACAATCAGATGCCTTAAGACGAGATGTAGTAATAGGGCTCCCTAGATAAGTAAAAGGCAGATTGCCTCTACTCATTCCAGTTAGCTTGAGGAGTTTTTCCTGCTGCTGGGGTTTGACACCCCCAAAAACGACTTGAGATTTGCTAATATTTATCTGTAGGCCAGTGGTCTTCCTAAACCTTTACAGTGTAGTCATAATGCATTGGATAGACTTCTCATCCCCTTTGCTAACGATTATCAGATCATCTGCAAACATTAGACTGATTATCCTCAACTCTGCACACATAGGATGATATCTGAATCCTCCTTGACTAGCTTCCTCCTGTAACATCCTTGTAAAGTATTCCATTATCAGAACAAATGAAAGGGGGGATATAGGGTCGCCCTGTCTAATCCCCTTCTTCCCCTTAAAGAAACCATGGCTCTCTCCATTTATACATAGGGAGTAGGAGGGGGTAGAAATACAGAACTGAATCCAATTAATAAATTCTGCTGGAAATAGAAGGCCATGTAATATTTTCAAGATAGCATCCCAGCTGACTGTGCTTTCTTAATATCTAACTTCATCATACATCGGGGGGATATGTTCTTCCTGTTATAACCCTGGGCAATCTCTTGGCAAAGGAGCACATTATGTAGAAGTTCTCTACCCTTGATGAAAGCTCCTTGGTTAGGATTCACTATATGGTGTAATATATTTTTAAGTCTGCTACTGATCATCTTGGCAATGGCTTTTTAAACCACATTGCAGCACGCAATTGGTCTATAATCTGCTGGAGAGATGGGGTTGTCAATCTTTGGGATAAGAGAGATATTTGTCGCATTGATCTGCCTCAACGTTTTACCAGTCATGAAAAACTCCAGAACTGCCTTAGTTGCTAGTCTCCCCACTGTTCCCCACTGTTGTTTGAAGAATCCACTATTAAATCCATGAGGACCTGGGCTTTTAGAGTTTGGAATAGAGAATACTGCCTCCTTAACTTGTTGTGGGGTAAACTCCTTGATCAGCTCCATTTGGTGTTTTACTATAAGTCTAGGGCCTTTTCTCAAAACATCTTCATCCACTTCTTGAAGGGATTTAGATGAGCCCAGGAGCTTTTTGTAATACTTTGCAAATACCTCAGCAATCTGGTCTGTACCTTCTACAGCTTGCATATTCTCATCCTGAATCCTAATAATGTAGTTATGAATCTTCCTTTTCTTAGCCCACGCAAAGAATAGCCTGGAGTTCCCATCTCCTTCAGTGACCCATTTTTCTTTTGCTTGTTGACATTTTAAGGTTTGAGCTGCCTTGACCTTCTTATAGAGCTCAGCGCTTAACTTCTTTTCTTCCTCCAGGAGTGTATCACTTTGGCTTATCTTGATATCTAGCTGGGTTCTTAACAGGTTCTCTCTAGTAATTTCCACTTGTTTGTGAATGTCATGATATCTGCTCCTATGAAGGGCTGACAGTGGGCCTTTAAGTCTCTTTAAATTCTGTAATAGCTTATACATGCCTCTGCCATCCCCTTCTTCCTTCCAATTTGAGCATAAGATACTAGGGAACAACTGGTCATGCATCCACATGTCACAAAACTTAAAGCTGTTAGATTTGGGCTTCCAGTTGATGTTCTTCAGCAGCAAGGGAGAATGATCAGAAACTCCTTCTTCTATTACCACAGTCTTAGTATTATAGCTAATCATCCAATCCATATTAGCCAAAGATCTGTCTAATTTTGAGCATATTCTTCTATCCCCTTTTTGTTTATTGGACCAAGTATAGTATGGTCCTTCAAAAGGGATTTCTTCTAGCCCACATCCCTCTATACATTCTTTGAAGTCCTGGATTTCATCCATTGTTATATGGTTTCCACCCTTCCTGTCTTCTATATTTAGTACAGCATTAAAGTCACCTACTATACACCAGGGACCATCATTTGAGGTTGCAAACTCTCAGATATTATCCCATAACTGCCTCCTACTAGTAATGTCATTAAAACCATAAATAAAGGAGATAATTGCATAATCCTGGGAATCAAGATGTCTGAATCTGCAATGAACTACTTGGCTTGTAGTGTCAATCACCTGAACAATCACCTTATTCTTATCCCAAATCACCCAAATTCTACCAAGAGGATGAGAATTACTATTTGTATGGGTACCCCAACTTCCAAACATCTTATTAAGAATCTCTTCTTCTTTATTCTTCTTGATTTTTGTTTCTAAGATTCCCATAATACATACCTTATATTTATTAATTATACTGATGACTTCCCATTGTTTAGTGGGATTATTTAATCCCCTAATGTTCCAGCACAAGATCATGTTAAGAAAAGATTAGGACCATAAGGGGGATCCACCCCTTTTTCCTCCGTTATCATCCTCCTAGCTGCTTTCTTGCCACTGGCCATTTGAAAACCATCCTGATCTATTCCATTTTCTTGTGTTGGGATTATGTTATCCCTAGTAGTCATTGCCTTCCCTGTCCCTTCCTCTTCTTCAACCACTTCATTTTTTCCCTGTTTTTGTTTAGGAACCCATATTTTCTGCTGGCCCCCTTTCTGATTCTTCCGATCCTTCTCCTTCTTTCTGCCGTTCTGAGATTCATGTCCAAGTTTATTGCAATGATCACACAATACTGGTTTCCACTCATATGCAAATTCTTGTGTTATAACCCTATCTTCCTCATCCACAAATTGTATTTTATCTGGGCAAATCTGTTGGGCCTGTACTTCTACTTGAATCCTAGCGAAATTCCATTTAGCTTTAGTGGCAGTGGCTTTGTCTCTTTTAACAGGTTTACCAACTAAACTCCCCAATTTGCTCAGTCCAGACAAGCTCCAATACTTCATTTGGAGGTTAGGGAATTGGATCCAAATTGGTATATCACTCAGTTTAGTGATATCCACTGCCTTACCAGAGACCCAATTCTGAACCAGCATTGGTTTGTTATCAAAAAAATAGTACCTGCGTTTACTGAACTCATTCCTTTCTTCTTCAATTTTGAAACACACATTGAATTGTCCTTCCTTTGCAAAAGACACATCCTCAATATTATAATCCTTCCAGATCCAAGTAATGAATCCTCTAAAAACCTCTAACGGAGGGTTAGCCCCTAGAACACAACATACCACAGCTTTATCCCAGATCCCATATTCTTCAATTACATCATCCTTTGTCAATTTAGCTACCCTCTGGCCACTTATCACATCTGATTGAATGAATTTAAGATCTACCTGAATAGTTTGATTCAGCTTGAGTACATCTGCGTATGACTTCTGCTGTATTCCCCCCGTAGTATCATCAGGTTGATCCTCAATGTTGATGTTGGGTTCAACCGTCTTCTTCTCCAAAATCCCGCTCTGTGGAATTACCGGTTCAGAGCTCTGAATCTCCTTCCCCTCCTCAGATACAGCTGGTTTGCTTACCGGTGTATTGAAAGTGCTTCCGGTTCTAGATACATTGTTAACTTGCGATTGATCCATCGACGATCCTTTCTTCCTAGGCCTTCCTCTCCTCTTCGCCATTAGTTGAATATACTATGGGAACTTGAATATGTGAAGTTATATTTTTGTTTTTGTATTTGTTTATTTGTTTGATGCTACATGATCTGAGATGTTATAATATGAAAATAACATATATCAACCGATCTAGATATCCATTTAAAATTTACTCGTTACAAATAAATTTTAAATAACTCACAGTTTGGATCTATTCTTGAATTGCTCATCTCACTTAGGTGGTGAATGCTTTTCTTTTTCTTTGTTCCATCATTTTTTTGGCTTGGCATTTCCCAAATGCATTCTTCGAGTGCATATGTAACTACACTATATCGTGCACTTGAAGAACCATTAGGAAATGGTACCAAAATTTTTATGGATCGAAGAAATTGAAATGTATTCACTAGTGAGGGTAGCATTCACCTTATGTCAGTTTGAGTTGAAATGCATTCACAAGAGAAAATGGTAGTCACCTTCTATCAGTTTGAGATGTTCTTTCCCCCATCATTCTTTGATATCGTGGTCCATTTAGTTGTGCACTCAGTGAGAAAAAGTTAAGATTTACGGTCCTGTATTTTTAAGATACGTATATCCTTTAGAGAGATTTATGTACATTCTAAAAAGGTATGTGAGGAACCAGTATAGACTTGAGGGCAGTATTGTTGAAGGGTATTTTGTAGAAGAGCTTATTGAATTCTGCAAAGAATTTTGGATTTGGAGTGCAGGACTAGGGTACTGTGGTCTCGCCATGAAGGTAGGATTGAGTGCAAAGGGACAATGGACATGAAGGTAGGATTAGAAAAAAATTACAATTAAATTAATAAGTGAATTATTATTAAAGTTTTCTATCACACTGTAAATTGATAGAATACATAAATATTATATAGCCATGTACATATGAATGATAATATATTAACTATTGATATATTACTTAGTTAGACATTTCTTTTTTGGAGATATCATGGTATGTGTGGAGAGGATGTGTTCATTAATTTCCTCTATGAATCTTATTATTTTACACTTTGACAAATCAAATATATAATTTTGATAGATAACTTTATTTAAAACTTTAAAGAAAATTAAAAGATTGATTTTTTTATTTTATTCCGTCATATTTGTGTATGAAAGATTACATGTATGAAAATAAAAAAAGAAAATATATTTTATTCCACTATTTTCTAAAAATGAACTCCAAAAAATAGCAAATAAAATAGTAAACACAAATATATGTATGACTGTTTAAAAATTATATTAACATTTAGTATACTTGTTAAAAGTTCAGTTAATATATAATCATAATAGGATTTAAACTTTAATTGTATTTATTTTAATTTTGTAATAATAATATGATATGCATTATATTTTTTAAAAAAATTTGATATGATATTTTATAGTAGCTAGACTATTAGATACGATATTTATTTAATAAAATTTGTATGTTAACATTGATTCCCGTGCTCTAAATTTTATATAAAAAAATTTTAGAAATATAATAAAAAGAAAAAATGGTGAATAGTTTGAAAGTTTAAAACTTTTAATTTTTAACTCATTAAATGAATATTCATATAATACTAAGAAATAAAAAGGTTTATGCAAAAGCAATGGCCATTGAATACAATAATGAATATTTTAAACTTTGGAAGTTAATATACGTATATACTCCGTATGTTTTAATTACTAAATATTATATTTCTAATAGTAGATACAATAAATAAATTTTAAGAAATGGAAATTTTTTAAACTAATTCTTAATTATGATATTGTTTTGAAATAAGAATTATAATTTTAATAATGACGCAAAGTATTATATTTCATATAAATATATATTTTTAAAATGAAATAAAAGAGAAAAATGCTGTAAAAGTTTATACAAACGTTGTCTGTTAAATTTTTTAATAAAGTTTATATAACCTTTGAAAAAAGTAATGAAATAATTATAAGATATTAAAATATATTTTAAAATGATGAAATACATTAATATAAATTAGAAGATGAAAAGTTTTATATATACAAATTTCTGGTAATTAAATGCAAGAATCATGAAGAGTTCTTTAAATAAAAATAATCAGATAAATGCCATGTGGACCCATAAAATGATGACACTGTGCATAAAAAGTATGACATCATACTCCATGTGTCTTCACTAGAACCAACAAACTCTCTTTTTCGTGTGTATGTGTCTATATATATATATATATATATATATATATATATATATATATATATATATATATATATATATATATATATATATATATACACACACACACTACTGGGATTAACTCCAGTAAGATGACACCTTACGGTGAGATAACATGCTCCGGTCAGATGACGCAAAACTTACCACACTACACTACAAAACTCAACAATGGACAATACAAAGCTCACCTAGAAATTAGGGATGACAATTTTATCCGAATCCGACTTTTTCCGACCCGACCAATGTATATAATATCCGAATCCGACCGAAAAAATAAATATCTGAAACCAACCCGAAGATTTTAAAATCGAACCCGACTTTTGTCGGGTCGGTTTTCGGTAATTAAATTTGACCGACCCGACCCGTACCCGTTCCCGACCAACCCGATAATTAACCCGAAATAAAAGGTCTTTTTAAAATATAAAAAAACCTTTTTCAATTAAAAGTCTTTAGCTTACGAGAGTTACCAATTACAGACATGAAAAATATTTGTGAAAACTTGTTATATTTATGTGTGTTGTTTCTCTTGTGAAATATTTGTGAAAAACTTGTTATACTTCCATGTTTTGGTTGTTATTTTGGACACATCTTTTTTAATATCTTAATTTTACGATGTCTTTGAACGTTCAAATTTTTTATGTATTGCAATTCTAATTATATCATTACATGCATTTATTATTTTATCATTATTTTAATAAAAATCATTACAAAAAACTGATTTATTAGTTTTTCAGGTCGGGATAGGCTTAGGTTTTTGTCAAATTCTCGGGTTCAGTTGCGGTTTCGGGTTTCAGTTTAGGCAGTCGGGTTCGGGTAGAAATTTATACCCGACGGTTCGGGTTCAGGCAACAAAAAATATCCGATTAAAATTTTGGGTCGGTTTCGGGTAGGGGTATATCCGAACCGAACCCGACCCGTTGTCATCCCTACTAGAAATACAGCAAAGCTCACCACTTTGAAACTCAAAACTCACTATTTTTTAGATTTTTTAAATTAAAAAATTAATTAAAAATAAAATTGCAACACCGGTCAACCACCGGTCAACGGCGGCGGAGCAGTGGCGGCGACCGGCGGCCGGCAATGGCCGTCGGTATCCGGCGGAGAAGACCGGCAGTGGCTGTCAGAGTCCGGCGGCGGGCGGCGACAGGCAGCGGCAATAAATGCTGGCGGTCAACAGTCAAAGTCCAATCAGCACCCCTTCCTTGTAGTTGTCTTTGGTGAGCTTTCCAATGGCCGGTGGTGAGATTTGTGTCATCTGACTGAAGCATGTCATCTCACTGGAATCAATCCTTATATGGGATTAACTCCAGTGAGATGACACCTTACGGTGAGATGACTTGCTTCGGTCAGATGACGCAAAGCTCACCACTGGCCACGGCAAAGCTCACTATATACAATTACAAAGCTCACCAAACTATTAAGCAAAACTCCTTATATTTTTTCAACACTATGAATTTTTTTTGAAAAAAAATCAAAGGAAGAGGTGCTGACTAGACTTTGACCATTGACCGTTGACCATCACCGGCCATCGCTTGTCACCGCCGGCCGCCGGCCGCTACCTGCCGCCGCCGCCTTCCCCCGGCCGCCGGTCTCCACCGTGCCGCCGCTGCTGACCGGTGGTTGACCGGTGTTGTTATTTTATTTTTAATTATTTTTTTAATTTTCAAAATTAAAAAAAAGTGAGTTTTGGTGTTCAAAGTGGTGAGCTTGCTTTATTTCCATGTGAGCTTTACATTGGTCATTGGTGAGCTTTGGAGTGTAATGTGGTGAGCTTTGTGTCATATATATATATATATATAAGGATGATTCCTGTGATTCCTATGTTTTGGCGCAAATGAGTGGATATCAACAAGGGGATGAAATCGAATGACATGAATCGGTCCATTTTCAGAAGTTGGACCATCATGAGAATCAAGTATAATGGCCTCCTAAGCAATGCAAATTTATTACATTGTTGTCTCTAAAGTTCGTTTTAGCATGTTCTTGCAACTAAAATGTTTGTTTTAGGGTATAAAGTATAATTATTTGGCTTGTTTTTTATGATTATTTTAGATTTATTGTTGTCTTAGTTCTTATGCCATACACGGATGCCCAACTTGATGAGATTCGAAGGTTCTAGGCTTGCAATTTTTTTATGAATTAGTTTAATTCTCATGCATTAAATATGATCCCATCGATTGTTGGTTAGTTATGTTTTGCGTATTAAGTTTAACTCTATCATTTAATCTTTTAATTCGTTAAAGTAATTGCGTTCATTTGTTTTGTAAAGAGTTGTATTTTTGAGAAAAATTCTGGATTGAGGTATTGCTGTATAAGTTTTGTGTTGTACCCTTGTTGTAAACTCTATGTAGTGATTCTGCAAAAAGCTGTGGCGTTAAAAAAATCATTTGCATAGATTATTTCAAAGTAACCGATGTAAAATACCTTTTTAAGTAACTTTGGAAGGCCTTTTGCATCAGCTACTTTGAAATAACTAATGCAAAAGGTCTTACCAAATTTGGTCTGAGAAAACATTTTGAATTTGTTATTTCAGAATAACCAATGCAAAAGTCATCCCAATTTTAGCGGGAGGACCTTTTGAATTAGTTATTACATAATTACCATGCAAAAAAACTTCAAAAACCATGAATTATGGCATATAAAAGGTCTTTTGCATCGATTTTACAAGTGATGCTAAAAGTAGTTGCACCAATTATATCGTTACATTTTGCATCAGTATGGAATCGATACAAAAAAGTCAAAAATAACTGATCTCAAAAAGAAAGAGACAAAGTAAGACAATGTCGTGTGACCCATTTTATAAAACTAGACTGGCACGGGGACTATCTATCCACCCATGCCCACCCCTAACTCCAATGGCTACCAACCTTTTTAGTCATAAATTGTGGTTAATTTACTCAATTTTTCTCAAAATCTCGAGACCATTCGTTTGCATTTGATTTGCAAACTTATAAGTTTGTTTTTGTGCAGGTGGAGCCGGGAGTCTCTTGGAAACAGCCTCCCTACTTCCGAGTAGGGGCAAGGTCTGCGTACACACACCCTCCCCAGACCCTACTGTTGTGGGATTCACCTGGGTTGTTGTTGTTGTTGTTTCATTGAGCATTTATCGTACTGTTTTATCTACTCGTTTTTGGAACTCATCGGATAGAAGCAAAGAAAAGACTCACTCTTTGTTTGCAACAAAGTATTGCATCGTAAAAAATCATGTATGGTATCCTAAGGAATGTATTTTCATTCCAAATTAAATTATCTCTTTACTAGTCACAAAGTAAACATAGTTAAACTTTATTTACTTCCATTGCCTATTTTAGATGCTCTCAATTTGTCAAGTATCAACAAGCTTGATAGGTAACGGAAGTCTAGAGTGAGTTATTCAGAGACTAGACCAACCAGATGTTGTAATGAACCAAGATTAATCTTTGTAATCGCTCTTCATCATTTACCTCCCGGAGTAATATTTATTACAGGTTCATCTACAAACAGTTGAAGAGGCTTCAGAGCATTGCTTTTTTACTTGAGAAAATATCGCTTCTCTTTTGGACAAGATTTAGCTTTTACTTGAAGAAAAAGAGAATGTTGTCCACAAGTAAAACTACATAGAAAATGTTAGAGTCACAAACATATAATTCACAAACTTCACAAATTTACTTTTAGTAGATTTTAAATTAAAATATCTTTTATTATTTGAGTGCATATTATTTCTAAGAAAATGTTAAAAAAGACAAGTTTGTGAATTTGTGATCTGTTTGTTTGTGACTCTAACATTACTCAAACAACATTGGTCTAGTTTGGGTTGATTGGCACAGAACAGTGACTTTTTAAATTGTAAAACGCTTCCAAAAGCAGCGTATTGGTTTCAGGAAAGCCAATTATTGAACGAAAGCTCCATTTGGGAACCGTTCAAATTAGCATTACATTCGATTTGGGACACCTAATTCAATAAATTGGAATTAGAAGCCGTCAATTTTTTGAACAGAGCATTGTAAAAGCTCCAAATCATAGTATGATAATGGAACTCCAGAAAATTACTCGAGTACCCTCGATTTTGTGGTAAGAACTCTCAAATCCCAAATTATTTGAAATATATTATGGAAGGCCTTAAAATTAGTGGTAATGTACTCTTTGAGTATACTGTTAGGATTAGAAGTTTTGGCACTCTGACAAATACTAAATTTTATCTTCGTAATCATTACTCCATCATCTCCGATTGAGCCAAAATTTCACCATTTTTTTATTTTGGGGTGTGATGGAATAAATCAAAATGGATCTCTAAACTGTCTGTGCTTCTTTAATTAATGAAGTAGCAGTTAGTCAAGCAATGCAACTTTCGACGTTGAGTCGGGAATCTCTTTGGAAACAGCCTCTCTACTTTCAAGTAGGGTCAAGGTCTGCGTACACACACCCTCTCCAGACCCTACTCTTGTGGGATTTAACTGTGTTGTTGTTGTATCTTCGTAATCATTATTTTATTAAATTGAAAGTAAAATCCTTTCCGTGTCTCAAAATTAAAGAACTTTCAATCCTAATGCCTAAATGGACGAAATATACCCTCAAATTATAATGTCAAAAATTTTAAGGACCCCAAAGTATATTTCGCATAATGTGGGACCTTAGAATTCTTACCAAAAATTGGGGGTACCCTGAAATATATTTCAGATAATATGGGACCTGAGAGTCTTTACCAAAAAATCAAGGATACCCCGGAGTAATTTTCTATTGGAACTCAATGAACCGGGTGAATTTATAATAGTACAGATTAAGTGTGAAAATGTTAATACTAAACGATGCCATCAGATAGCCTTTTCAAAATACTAAAGCTAACCATTGGAATGTTACCAAATGGACAAGTAGCCATTAACTCGGCATACATGTTAAATTACTAAGCATCCACACAAATTTTTTAAAAGGTAAAAACTAAGCACAATTCCAGAAACGCCTAGTATATAAGCGCGAGCAAGTGGAAGAAGGCAAAAATAGGGCGCACATAAACGCACCAAGTAGCTTCCTCAAAATGGAAGCTAAAGCCCAAACTGCAAAAGCATGGTACACTCTGAACACAAACTAGCACATACTCGACAAAAGCAAGCTCACACAAGAGTTCAAAACAAAAGCTTGTGCGTTGAAAAACATGATACCTGAAGAGCATGTGGCAATCCTAGAGACAGTCTCAGGCATTCGGGAGACCCTTCAACAATTTGCCCATAGGCCGACTTTAAATTCATGAAAGCTTGAAAACAGGTTTTGAACGTGTCTGCATGTGTGAAGAGCATTGACAGTGCTCTTATCACAAGTCCTACAAAAACAAACCTCATTCCAAGATAGAGTTCACAGTACCGTACCGCGTGCTGAGAAAGAGTATCATTCAAAAAGACAAAGTAGAGAACATATATGACATATAAATTCAATTGAATAAAAGATACTTCAATGCAAAGACTAAAAACTCAGTTGGAGCGGACCAGCTGCATGTCAAGAGAGGACATAATTAGTCACTTAAAAAAACATATTGATAAATTGCAGCTTATAGAAATGGAACAAGCAAACTTCCCATCAGCCTCAGTGAAGCCTTGCCAAGATGCCAATTCTGTAGTAGATTGTCATGCCGCCAGCATAAGGACTTAAAAACTGAAAGGTACTATTATGTGTACATGATGAACAAAATTTTTAGGCTAAATAACAACACTAAGAACAATGTCTTAGATATTCAAAAGATTTTAAAAGTCATAGTAGTTCCAATATGAACCTCTTGATGGCCTTGAAAACTATCAATCTTCATCTCTTTCTGCCGCCACGTTCTCTGAGTGAAAGATTGAGTGTTTCTCCTGGCGACACATTGTAATATGCAAGCGACAAATTGTCCTTGAGAAACCCAGCCTTTCCGCTCAGCTTCTGCTTGTTTGCGGGAAGCTGGATCTCACCAGAAATCTTCTCCTTCAAACTGCCAACAGTTTCTGCCAATGATTGCACTGAAATTTCTAAAACCTGCCCTTTGAGATTTCCTTCTTCAACATTTGGTACATTAATGCTGATACGGGCAGGTCCCTATGACAAAGGGAAAACAAAACAAAAAACAGAATCCAAATTAGATACCGATACACGAAATGAAAACAAACTGCAGGATGGACATTAAAAAAATGGCTTTCGCACCAAATGTTTGGCGAGGAACTGGTCTTCAGGAATGAGTACAGACTCATCAAGCTTTTGCCTCTTAGGCTCTGGCTCCTCGGGAAGTGGTGGAGCTTCCTCAGGTGGAGGTGGTGGAGGCATTCCATGTGGCAGTATTGGAGGTGGTGGGACCACATTCATTCCAGGCTGGGACATGGAATGGGAAACAAAAGGCCGAGGAGGGCCCATATGGGTAAATTGAGAACCGGGCGGTGGTGGTAAAGAAATGTTAGGAGCATTGATGGACATTGATGTGTGCATTGGGGGACGGTTAACCATAAGATGTTGCCCAGGCATGGGTGAGATTGTAGGGGGTGGAGGTTGCACTTGTGGAATCGTGTTTATTACAGGAGGCCTGGGAAGTGGTGGGATATTAACACTTGGGTTACTATGGGTTGGGTAAGGGTAACTACTGGGAGGGCGAGGAATGTTTAGTGCTAAACCAGGTGGTGGAGGAAGTGGTCGAACTGATGGCAAACCAGGCCTAGGAGGGGGCGGTGCTTGAGGTCCCGAAAGGTTCCTTGAATCATTAACAAAATCATACTGATCTTCTGTATTGTTTTGGGACAATGCCTGGCTAGCTGTGCGACCAATGCTGCCGGTGTGACCATCCCATATGACCTGTTTTGGTTCTTCTTTTTTCTTCTCAATCTCAGCCTTGACTGCATTTGACACTTCTTCTTCAGTGGTACCAAAAATATCAGGCCGTGTTCTAGCAAGCCCAACAATGTTTCTAGAAATTTCATCATCCTGAGCTAGTGTTGTATCCCTAATCTTTGCAAACATTCTCTCTTTCTGCTCCTTGTATTTAGGATCAATAAGAGAGATCCTCATATGTTCAGACATTTCACTTATTGGAATCATCTCCCCAGTTATAGGAGAGATGACATATTTTGTCAGGTCCCTTTCTGGAAGCATCCTTTCTTCGGGCCTTTTCCAGTTCTTCACAATTCTCATTGGCGCCTCCTGATCCTCTGTAACTGCCTTCACTTCGGAATTCTGGACAGCAATCTCCTCAAGGGTAGCAGCTCTCATGCCTTCTTCGACAAGCTGAACCTCCTCTTCATCCATCTCCATTTCTACCTCTTTCCCAGGCTCAACAAATTCTTCCTCCTCCATAGATGACATCTTGCTCCTCCTTATAACCTCCTCAAGGGTCATAGGAGGAGGCAAATCTTGATCCTCATCATCAGCAAAATCTATAGTCTCAACTACAACAAAATCATGCCAATCAATCATAGCCATCTGCAGTCTCTCTTGTTCTATCTCATCTTCAGCTTTCTGCCTTGCCTGCTCCTGTGACCTTTCCCATTCCAATCGATTCAGGCAACGTTCAAGAACAGTCGTCATGTCAGCAGCACTCTTCCTTAGTTTATCGGTCAAGCCTTTTGAGGGCATTAGGACCTTTGAATATGCATCTGCCAATGAAGTGAAAAACATAAACATACTATGAGTAGGCTTCAGAAAATGAAACTGCGGATTATTATTCTCTCTACTGGTCAACCCTGTCAGAAAATTTTTCCCATTCCTTGCTACAAACTGGGCGGTGAGCTTAATGATATCCAATTCCTCCTCTGTGATCCCTTCGGGAAGCCGAACTGTATACTGCTCTGCTTCAGGGGTTTCAAGAACCTTGCGAACCGGCCTGAACTGTGCAGAAGGATCGGGCTTTGTTGTTGCATCAAGACCATCAGCTTCAGCGGGAGAAAGGGTTGATTCTAGAGCATCTGTATCAGAAGGCTGAGAAGGAAGCTGTTGTGAAGAAGCCTGACTCTGTGTCCGACCTTCAGATAAACGGTGTTGATAATAAGCATGATAAGGATCTGAGGGGTTCAAAAAATTGAACTTAGCATTTCCTGCATTGCTCAGAATAATCCTTCTCTCAAATTCTGGGCCATTCTTTACCACAAACTGTGATGTCTTGTCAACAATGCTTCTGATATCAGGTGGTGGATAAATGATCCCAATAGTCCTTGTATGGGTCGCAATAGAAGCTGGAGCGGAATTGTTTTTGCTCTTCTCCTCCTCATTCACGCCCTTAGCATCATCACTATCTCTGTCTCTCAACTGAGCTGGAGGCAACGGGCCAAGATTCCCATCATTTGTTGCCGGAGGGAGTGGCAATATGGGCAAAGACCCCAACATCTTTGTGTCTGCAGGTAAAAAGTGATAACTAAGAGGATCGTTAACCATATACATACATATATATATGTGTGTGTGTGTGTGTGTGTGTTAATTTTTTTTACACCAAAGCAAAAAAAATGGAATCAAGTCCTCTACTTTGGACGTTGAGCCTAGGGTATCTTTGGAAACAACCTCTCTACTCTTGAGTAGGGGTAAGGTTTGCGTACACACACCCTCCCCAGACCCTGCTTTGGACGTTGAGCCTAGGGTCTATAAAGCTCTCTTACTTCGTGATTTACTAACCTTTTTTTATAATGTTACTATAAGATGGGTGTGAATAAGATCAAATTAGTTGTGAATCACTTAAAAAATCAACAATCATTCAAAAATAGAATATCGTTTCGATCTTGGAACTATGGAAGCATATAAAATGGAATTAAATTTTCGACTGATACTGAAGTCATGGTCATGATTCATGAAAACTCTCAACACATGCAGCCTTGAAACAAAATTATTTAAACCTGCTGCATGTAACAACAAACTTAAAAGTGAAGCATGTTTGGTGGGTGAGATCTGAAACAAAAGCCTGGGGAGAAAAGTATAAAACCAAAATGGAATCAAGTCCTAATCTCTGCTGTTTGGTGAGCAATGAAGGAATGAAATGAAAGTGTTCAACTTATAGCGAATAAAATTTTAAATTTGCAATTTAACACAAAGAATATGAATTAAAAATATTAAATCAAATTATAGCGAATAAAATTAACAATCAATTGAATTCATAAAAATTTAAAAAATACTCTAATGAAAGGCAACCCCACACACATTAATTGCTAATATTCAATATTAATTGTAATTACTTACCTTTTAGATTGGAGATTTGAAGGACTGAAGGATGAAGGAGTTAGCAGTGGCCGGTGGCTTCCTCCTGCGGCACTGCAACGGCAGAAACAACGCGACCGGGTGGAACGGTGCGGCGGCGGTGGTGGTTCGTTCCCGGTGCGGCGATTGAAAGGCCTAGGGTTTTCGTCCTTCCCACCCAACCCTCTCCCTTCTCTGCATTTCAATTGCTTTCTCTTTTCAAATCCGAGCGTCGGTTGATGGTTATCCTAATTCCTATGGGATTTGGATTTTAATGGCGAGAATTTAGCTAAGTAGCTCTAGTTTAAATTGTCTGTTTATCTTTTATTTCTCCGTCCAAAATAAATTGCATGTTATTTGTTATCGTAAATTTTTAAGAATAAAATACCTAAACTATCCTTAAGATAAGTAATTATTCTCCATCTTAACTTCTAATTCATCGTCACCCCTCCTAAAAAGTTGGCAATTTCAGAAAATCAACTTTTTTTTTCTCTTCCTTAAATATGTCCAAATTAAAACTCAAAACACGCGATTTAAAACGGAACGGAGAGAGTAATTAACTTCTCAACGTAAGATGATATGTTTTTATTTTAGCAATGTAGGATCATATCATTAGTCATTATTCAAGTAAATGTCCATCATCATCACTGGACATTATTTCTTCCATTATACATTATTAAATCTTATTTAAGGAATTAAAAATTTAAAGTCATACATTAGGAAAAAACTTATGTTTTAGTCCTATTTAGTACACATTTTTCTTTTAATTGACTAGTACGTGTAAATGCATGCTTATTTTACTGTATAATTTTTTTCCTCCACATCAGATTCTACTAATTTCATACTTTTCTTACTAGAATTGGGTGTACATACGATAATTCACTTACTTATTACAACCATTCTTTTATTTTTTTCACTTAAATTAATAGTATGAATTACTTTCAAAATAAATTATAAATAGTTAACTCTAGCAAATTATATATTAAAATTAAAATATCTTTTAAATAATTAAGTTAAATTGACACTATAAAATATTATTAATTTTTTTAATGATTAAATTCAACAAATAATATATTAAACTAATATTAGTATGTTACTAATCGCGCAACACATAAAAATGACTAAAACAAAAAATCATGATGAATGTATAAAAAAGACACTCGTATGATTTAAAAATGAAAAAAGTAAATGTGGTTTTGAAAATAAAAAAATTATATCTACAACTTATTTAATTCAAATGATAATTTAAATTTACTAAGTTAATAAAACATAAGAAGGTTATTAATTAAAGCTATTGACTTATACGGAGTATAAAGTTTGTCAAAAAAATTATACGTACTATTAGGTTAAAATAGTTCATTGTGATACATGATGTAATATGAAATTGGGTAAATGGAAGTGTAATAATATTGAATTATTTTATTAATATAAAAATAGTCACCGAGTTGGTATGCTCGGTTAGCCACAAACCCGTTTACTGATTTTCTTTGGTACCAAGTGAAGAGGAGTGATGTTACCCTATTCTGCCATATTGCCACATAAGCTAATTTTGGTATCAAATGTGGTTTGATACACTCATATAGTGCACCCTAAAATGACTTCTTTTCGTGCGGAAAAAAAAACAAAAACGTGTTCGAGTAAAAATGTTTAATTTATTTTTATTATTTATTTTTATTAGATTCAGACCATGGTGTATCACATTAGATTAGACCAAAGCAAGTTGAATTTTAATACATATAAATAATATCCAATAAAATTAAATGAAAAAACATGCTCTTAGTCCATGTATTATTCTTTTTGTTCAAATAAATCATTCTGTTCACTTTTCTCTTGTTTATTACCCTAAATTTTAACAATGATGCAATTATTATTGTATATGACATGAAACTATTGTTTTGGCATGTTGATTTATTTTTTCATCTATCTTTAGTCATAATACAATAAAAAGTTTTATCCACATATTTTTCAATAAAAGAGAAAAACAAAGGCATATAGAACTTGATAAAAATTAAAATAAGTAGTATGAATTAACGTATATATCCAGAAAACAATTTTATATTTTATGTTATCTATAGTAAATTCGACATTAAATAGAACATAAATTAATTTTTTTATTTTTTAAAACAAGACTAATTTCAATCTTTTTAGACGATACATGTACTTTTTAAAAAAATATGCCTAGGTTTCAAACTTGGTTTAATGGGATAAGCAAACATGTCGTACCACTTGTAGTCCCAGAGCCCTAGCTATATGATCATTGGTGGGTCTGTCCTGGAATAAATTAAAAAAGTCAGTAAAGTTAAAAAAAATGGTAAGAGTAATATAAATATTATACTCCCTCCATCACATTTTATAACGCCTGTTTCGATTTACGATGTTTAACTGAAGTTATTTTCAAATCATTTTATATGAAAAATGGTATAGAATTAAAAAATAAAAATTACATATCAAAATACTACATCAAAAGATCTACAAAACTAGTAGTGACAACAATATTTATTTTATCAATTTGCTAACGAAAATAGAGAAAGAAAGTGAATGAAGTTTGATCCTGTGAATAGTGAACAGACATTATAATTTGGGACGGAGGGAGTATTTCGTAAAAAATGTTAATGATAACCCTATATAGGGGGGATCGGATATCAAAGCCAATCAAGTTAAGGAATCGTATCTAGACCAAGCTTGAGAGATTCATATAAGCTTAGTGCATTGGTTCAATGACGAGGAGTATCTTTCTAAGCGCTTGGCCACTGAAAAGAATGCCTGTTTGAATAGAGTCGCGAGCAACACTTGCGAGGTCGGACTCATACTACATCGTCTACTTGGACCAGAAGCCCCAAGGGCGGGCGAGGTGGATCAAGCTTTAGTTTGTGCAAGTAGAGTGGATGTTTGGGCATTGTTGTTGGGGTGGCCAGTATGTTGGGTCAGTCCAATAACTAGTACTTTATTACGGAGTATTTATTATTATTTAGGGGCCTATGTGCCATGTTTTAGCCTAGAAAACCCCCTGTGGTCAGTGAAAAGGGCACATTTTGACATTGCACTTTCATCTGTTGAACGTTTTGTAATATCTCAATCTACACAACTCGGAATTATACGAATTAAGGTGAAGTGAAGCTATATTTTTTTTAGCACTTTTCAAAAAGAGTAAGGGGGTGTATTGATTAGGGAGTCTATATGATTTTTTTGGACTTTTAAAATTTGAGAATATTCAATCCTGATATTTTAAAATCTTTAAAAATTTTGAGATATTCAATGAGAATTTCAAAAAGTCTAAAAAAATATTTAGGTATTCAATAGTCTATAGATTTCTATACTCCATAGATTTTGTTGGATTCTTTCCCAAAAATATAAAGAGATTTCACTCTCTAAAATCTTCCTTAACCACATGAGATTTCTAAAAAGAGAAATTTACTTAAATAGGACTAAAACATAATGATTTTCCAATATAGGACCATATGTTTTTATTTCCTAATGTAGGACTTTTGGTCATTATCATGTAGTCATTATTCAAGTAAATGTTCATCATTACTGGACATTATTCTTCCCACTAGGTCATTATTAAGTCCTATTTAGAAAATAAAAAAGTTTAAATCCTACATTGGGAAAGACATTATGTTTTAGTCCTATTCCAAATTTTACTTCTAAGAATTCTTCGTCCGACATTTTTGCAACACCAATACTTTTCTTCTTTCATGCCTGGACGGTGCTCCAATTAATTGATACTCTCTGGGCAGTGAAATAGCGGCAGCGGCGGCGCTGCTAGATCGGTTCTTCCTTTTCTAGATCTTTTTTTTTTGGCTTTTTACATTGGCTTTTTGCCTTTTTACATTGACTCCACCATAGCACAGTGCCTGGAAGAATATTTTTTCATTGACTCCACCAAAGCTGTAAATTGCAGGTTTGGTTGTTCATTTGCTTCATCAATTTTGACTAGCATTTCGTGTTTTCAATTTTTTTTTTCTCAGTGCACTTGTGTTTTTCACAATTTTGTTGGGGATTTTAAAAGACTTTCTTTTTTTATCTAATATTTTTTAGGTAATTAAAGAAATTTTATATTTAGGTAAATAATATAAAAATTAAAGATTTTGTGTTTATTTAATAGTTCCATCGCCAATCGTCAAAAACAAAATAGTTCCATCGCCAAAGTCTATGAAAATACACGTGAAACTATAAAAAAAGTGTACTCCACAATCCTTTCAAGTCAATGAAAATCCATATAAATCAATAGAAAAAATCAGCCAAACTTTGCATTAAGTCAATGGATTTTCTAAATCCACAGACTTTTAAAAGTCCAAAAAAATATAATGAAATCCCAATTGAATACGCCCTCTTAAGTATAATTCATTAATAAAAAATCCAAGATGAAAGAAAAGTCAAAATCAATAAACTCGGATCTATCCTTTACAAAATTTCTGATGTTGCGGAAGACAAAAGGTGTTGATAATAAGCATGATAAGGATCTGAGGGATTCAAAAAACTGAACTTTGCATTTCCTGAATTGCTCAGAATAATCCTTCTCTCGAATTCTGGGCCATTCTTTACCACAAACTGTGATGTCTTGGCAACAACGCATCTGATATCAGGTGGTGGATAAATGATCTCAATAGTCCTTGTATGGGTCGCAATAGAAGCTGGAGGCAACGGGCCAAGATTCACTTCAACCTTTGCAAGCATATTCATATATATATTCAGAAAAAAACAAAGAAAGTGGGTGTCTAGTATGGCATCATGTTTAACCAGTTTGTAACTACAAAGAACATGGGTGTCTAGGACAGCATCACGTTTCAACACCGATGAGTGTCCAAAGGGAAACGCTAATATGTAATCATAAAATTAATGGTGACTGAAACTGATTGGCCAACCCAACCAGTACCGCCGGCCCAACCACCGACGGCGCCCCACCGTCAGCTTCTCCGGAAAGACCAGAACAACCCAAACAACCAACCCCAAATCCAATCCCGTTCATGCTACTACCCAATTCAATTCATATTCAACTCAATCCATCAAAAAAATCAGTAATATTAAGCACAAATTCAATGTCAATTGAACGAGAATGTATTTGACAAATACTACGCTATGAATCAATTTTAATGCGATATATATGAACCACGACTGACCTCAATGGATTGAAGAACACTAGACACCGATCAATGTTACGATGGATTGAAATTGCGCCCAATCTGATTGCACTTGTTGATGCCGGCTGCTACCTCGCTCCCTCTCGCTGCTCTGGTTCCGG